AACGCGAACAGGAATACAGACACCACGCTCTGAGGATGGAAGCGAGGGAGCTTTTGAAACGTCAGCCAGAATACACTTTGTTCCCAGAAGTCGTCTCCTCTTCTCCTTCCTCTTCCAGCGAGGATGTAAGGTATATTTTGCTTATTGTGTACAAAATCTCACTGGTGGTCTGAAGCCCCGACACGCGGCGGGCCCCGGGCCCTGCGGGCGTGTCTGTCTGTCTGTTAGTGTGCTTTGGGCGTGTTTGAATAAACTTCATGCGAGAGTGAGTCACTGGCCGCTGATCAACTGCTTGGCCAATAGCAGTCTATGGCACTTGTGACTGGCTGTCCAGAAGCAGATATGGGAGCGCGATCACGTGACAGTTTGTGGGCTTGGCATCGGTGCTACAAGCGTACCACTACGAAGCTTGATCCACAACAAACGCCTGACCTCGATGTATCTATAGGTCCAATTTACAGTACCGATTGCTCGTGATTTGTAAGCATTTGATCGACCGTGGTTGGCGTTTTGGTCCACTTTACTCTTCAGAGGATTTTTCCCACTTTGGTTTTCAATTACTAAAGAAAATCAACGTAGTTCCTAGGCAAGTCAAAGTACTGAATACTTGAGAAGAAGACGACTCGAGCGCTGGGACAATACTTTCATTTGCCTGACGTTTCGAGATCCGTCGCGGATTCGTCATCAGAGACATAGTCAGCTAGCAGTAGCGGAGACGGGTAGCATATGCACAAGAGTTTGCAGTATTTATAGGATACAGTCATTACTGCAAGCATACAACAACAATTAATGCTAATTGCCTTTTTTTCGTGTTGATAGTTTTTCTTTCGGTTTCATTATCTGACGTCTTATGGTTGCCTCTGGCCTGTGTGCGACTCCAACTCCAAGTAGTGCGAGAAAGCAGCCAACAGCCTCCGAGAGGTTTTTGATGTACGGGAACTCATTCGACGAGGCCCGACCATACATTAAAATTTAATGTGGCCGAAATTCTCGCAAGAGGTGACGATCGGTTGAGCCGAGAATTAATTGAGTCATGGTTCACGGGCTCCCAATCCAACGACAAGTGCAATGATCTGCCAAATTCATATTCGGTGCTGAGACTTAATTTGGCAAAAGCAAGTGGCCACTTGAGGAACGGACAGGCCATCGCGTCATCCTACGCCAACTCTGGAGCGCCAGATGACCGAGCGATCATCACGCCTGAGTCCACCACGCATGACGATAGTTCAGCAGGTCAGCGCCCGCATGCTGTTCAACAAACTACCAACACGTAAGAAGGCAATTGGCGTTAATTGTCGTTGTATGCTTGCAGTAATGACTGTATCCAATAAATACTGCAAACTCCTGTGCATGTATTACCCATTTCTGCTACCGTTTTCTGCTCAGGTCTCTGATGATGAATCCACGACGGATGTCGAAACGTCAGGCGAATAAAAGTATTCTCCTAGTGATCAAGTCACCTTCTCAAGTAATGGATAATAATATAGTCAACGGGCAGCCGTTTCATGTGTTTCTTAACTCAATCCAATAAACTGCAAGAAACTCGTAGTTCTACTCCGGTCGAGCTGTCTAAATGTACGCCCGTGAGGTCTGATCCACATTGAACACAAACGTTTGACGCTCGCTTTTTCCACAAGGTGACCAGTTTCTAGGGCACTGCTGCTTTCTGACAGAAAGCATTCAAGTTGATAGAAAGCAAACGATTTATTCCCGCTCTCAGGACTTACGTTTTGTCGTTGGCGTGCTCATCTAGGCCTCTGGACCAATTCCAGCTAGGCAGTCAAATCGCCATAGTAGGGACACTTTTAATGAGCGATAGCCACATATCCACATATCCGCTTAATCGTCCCTCCTTATCCTGCACCCTAAGCAAATCACGTATCGAGTCACCAGAGGTAAAATATTTTTTAAACTGAAGGACGCAACGGTCTCGCCTTCCCATTTTGGCAGTTTGCTTTTGTTATCCCCATTTGAAAACATATCGCGGATAAAAAATAAGGGCAAAGGTCTTTGCAAATTACTTAAACCAATCGATTACTAAAAGGAGCTGTGGATCATAAGAAGGAATTTTACAAAAGCAGGGCAGGTCTAGATCCTGACTTGTAACGTTTACTTGGCAAAAAAGGGGCTACCTAGTTCTGTTTTCTAACTCTAACTGTAGCTTTACATTCCTTGGAATTTACTGCAAGATATTGCAGGAAGGACAGGGTGTCCCTATTTCTGTGTTCTGCCCAAAAAAGAGTACAGTTTTGCGAAACTTCACGTCTGTATAGGGACTAAATTAGTCACAAACGTAGATTCATAGATAGAAGTCCTACCTGACGCAATTCTGCAGTTTCCTCTAACTCGTCCGATGTCTTCTCGAATTCCAAGTCTTCCGGATGAAGTAGCAGGCTCTCTGCTCCCTTCCGCTGCTTTACGGTTTGTCTCTGTTTACTAAAACAAATACAAAGTCTGTTTTTTCGTTTTTGTTTTTAATTTACAAATTTATGGTCAGAACAGTTGGCCTGCGAGGTTTCTACCTCCATCTTCAAGGCTCATTTTTAGTAGGTGACTATTGGCTTGAAAATAATTTAGAAAAACACTATTAAGCCTCCACGACATAAACTGACGAACATTTTGACTAGTTGCTTTGGTGCCTGCAAATAATGCCAATAATGCTAATAATTTGTAAATCAAAGGAGTGTACATGCAATTGTAAAGGGGTAGGAGGCAAACCCCTGAACATCAAATCTAGTTCAGTTCTGGATAAACATATCATCAACAGTAATCGTCGCATGCTAGGCAGGTCTGACTGTGTTGACTCTATGCAAACTCTACATAAACCTTGCTTTCCCAAAGTAAAGTGCTTTATTTCAATATGCAGTCCTTCCGTGACGTTGATGTAGGCACACCCCCTTTACAACGTACGACTGCTGGGAAACGAAGAAACTGATCATTCTTTCAATTGCTTTTTTAAATTCACTTTGAACAAGCCGATCTTTTCATAATTATTCTGGGCTATTTAAGGGATAAATTGGATTACCCTGCAAGCATGCAGGCAGGCTCAGCGCATATTGTGTCATGAAATGCCAACCAATGACTCAATACAGAACTGCACGGCATAAGAGCATGGTAGGGCTTCTGCATCTCTCTACAAACGCTCTATTATTATCATCCAAATGCTAATCACTATTATCTCACACAGATTGGGAGGGCATACTGGGTGCCACTTCTTAAACGCACACACAAGCAGTACTTATAGTATACTATCTACTGGCCTTAGTAAGCATGATTTTTATAAAATTGGCCCTTTGAGCATTGGCACGTACCTATAGCAGCAGTATCTGAGTCCGTACAGCTTGATGGATATAGTTGATAGTGCGGGAACCAAGGCAAACGCTGCTGTGCTCAGGGCCCAAGCATGTACCTACCCGAAATAGTTTAAACCCAGCTGCACACTCCTTTTTGAGACCAAGGAGAGATGAGCCCTAGCGTTGGCTTAATCAAGGTCACCTCTGACAAATGGTGGTACCAGTGCTAGCACCACTACTACTACACTTCTTGCAGAGATTGAGTGGATATGAGCCCAGCGCTGATTTTAATCAGCGTCACTTCTAGCTTACAAAACAGTCAGTAATAGTACCAGCAAATACTATCACTCAGCTACACCCTAGTTAGTAGTATTATAAATAGCAATAGTGGTAGTAGCAGTAACAGTCCTGGCTTAATAGAGTCTGGCTCGACACCAACTATGGGTGTGTGAGGATAGACAGTGCAGTAGAATCCACGCAAAGTATCCTATCATTAAATACTAAGTTAGGCGGTGCTTCTGGCTGCGTCCTACGCCTTCTCCATGCTCGGTCATCTCGACTTTTTCTTGTGACCGTTTGATGCAGTTGAGAGGATCTAGAGTGGTTTAGATGGCGGCGCGCCTACATTCACTATACCTGGCCACAGTGACCGTCACTGCTCTCGGGAAATGGTGGACATAAATGATTACGGTGGTCGAACTTACACTGAACCGAGGAGGGCCAGGATCAAGGTTGCTGGCGTTTCAAGAGCCCCAGTTATCCAGCGGCGTTTAACACGACACGCCAAACAAACCCAACGGGTAGAGTTAACATTGTAGTTCCATGAGTACGCGGTCCAAAATTCACATTGATGTATGGGAAATATTTGTGCCTGGTACGTTTACATTCTCTGCCAGGGTTACCGGTATCTAGTCCACATTATGACGTCTGCAGCTCTGTGATAGTCCACCATTTTACATCCCGCGCAAAAAGGGCTGCCTGTGTGACTAAACTAACATTATATTGTTTGAATAAGAAAGGCTTACTTCTACTACTACTACTACTACTACTACTACTACTACAAGCGCCTTACTCGAAGAAGCAGCCGATAACGAAGATCGTGAGAAGAGTGCTCGTCACTAAGGCGATCTGTATAGGGGACAGCAGGCCAAGCTCAAAGTTACCTGAAAATTAAAAAAAAACAGTTGAAATTAATGTAAGAAAGCAGAGGTGGAGCTCACGAAACCTAAAACTATTAGGTCAACCTCTCCAGCTCTTTACCGGCATGGATAAGTATTTTTTTTGGTTGAACCCCTCCTAGGCAGGATTACACATTGTGGACGAATTTTCTCGAGCCTCGTACTAAGCACAGTTATCCATAACGGAAGGACTGTCATTTTTTAACTAAACCTAGACTCTTTTTCCAGCTATTCGGTTGAATTTTGGTCTACAATGACCCACTGCGATCTTTTTTTCTAAATATAACATATACTTCATCAAACCCTCTCTCATAACGATGGTTTCAAAAGGTTTCTTCCACTAGTATAAAATTAGTTCAGTGTGAAACCGTCCTAGAGTCCCGAGTCTTCTAACCGTTTTCAAGTATGTATTTATGAGGAGGTTGAGAACACAATTCTAAGAGTGCGCTTTGGCGAGCAATTGCTAAATGCATATTATAACGGATATAACAATTTCCGTGTAGTATTTATGCTGCATTTCCATTCGTGGCACCGAAACGTATAACTACGATTCCTGGCCCATAAGCAGCGGCCTTATTTGGCGTTCCCTTTTCCGAAATTTGGACATGAGTCCACATAATCCTAGGACGTTTTAGACCTTCTGCATAAACCAAAATCGATAACGATTATTATTTTAGTAGTATGCAATTTTCTGATTAATTTTTTGCCCTCATAAAATAAAATGTATTGTATAGAAAATGTAGACAACAATATTCTTTCCTGTACTGATTTGGCAGTAAATCACGTTTTCTTCGAACTTAATACTCATGGCAGGGCTATGTTTGGGTTTTTTAAAAATTTCTAATTATGATATTCTTTAGGACCATACAATGACCATTCAAATAACATCATAACTTTTTGTTTATTGATGCTCCTCGTGAAGCATACACAACATAATCCACGTCTGTCATAGACGTTTCCAGCATTCTATGGTATCTTATTAATGGTAAACAGTGAGGTACGATTATCTTTATACTGAAAGCATACAACTTGTAGACAGAAATTCCTAAACGCAAATTCAACGACAGGTGGGTCTTAAAATTATTTGGGAATTAAAAGACGCTTAAGTCCTAGATAGACTTGTCCGTTGTGTATATACTTCGGAGAATATCTGATTTACGCTCAAAGGGGCACAAGAAAACATATTTTGCTTATGTTTTTACACAATCTCTCTGAAATCACAACGACCTCGAACATAAAAAGAAAATGCCTACTACTGAAATACTCCTTTATTACCGAGTGTGGTAGTAAAACTGCTTGTTAAGTACTACTTTCAAATTAAGGACGTATGTTAGAATTTGAGGTAACATTTAATGAAGTCCTTCGTTGACTCTACTTCTCCTATACGCACCGAACAGATAGTTCTGCGGTGCACACATAGATTCCCCTCAAATAACAGTATCTACATTAACCGTAAACAAAATCCATTAATTTAAAAGTATGCATGAGGATCCATAAAGCACAATTTTACTACCATAATGCGCTTTGAAACTTAGCTTTCAGATGCGTTTCAACAACGATTCTGCAATTTCTACATAGTTACTCGACGGTCATTCCACTTCTCACCATCACCTTAACTCGGCTACCTTTTTGGACCACGTTCTGGACGTGCTTTTCTCTATGTGTACAGAAGAAAACAGTCATGCTTTCCGTCCCTACGTCACCTTGGACTCATAGCTTTAAATCGATCCCGCAACACTGACATTCTTACTCGAGGTTGCGCTTTGACAAACAGATGCCAAAGCGTATCAATACGGATACTATCATGTCTCGTTTGTAGTGGACAGATAGTACTACCGGCAAAGACAAGAGAGCCTGGAACGGCCCAATGCAGAGCGGGACAGAGGAGTTCCATTAGCGGTCAGGTGAACGTTCATTAACGAGTGTCAATACTCCCTGACAAGGAGCTCGTCGCTCAATGGTTAGGGCGTTTGACCCTGATCAAAAGGTCGCGGGTTCGAGGCTCGTGTGGGACGCCACTTGGGTCTGGGTATGACTGGCTGACGACGGCTAATAAGCCAGAAATGACCATTGCGGTCTCCCTTGTCTATTATGACAATACTATCTGCCTATACCACCAGCTGTTACGGCTGTCAGAGCCTCTAGCGAGGCCTAAGGCAGAGCGGGACTAATGAGCTTCGTTAGCGGTTAGGCGAACGTTCATCAACGGGTGTCAGTGTCGCGTTTTCCTGATATCGCTCAATTCATGCCACAGACATGGAGAAGTATGACATAATGCCCAGTAGCAACGGCTGTGAATTCAGCTGTCTGCCCTCCCGACCAACGTTTGAGATGTACATTTCTCTATGTATACGGAGGAAAACAGCGATTCGTTCTATCTCTACATATGTCCTTGGATCGACTATGCAATACTGATTTTTGTTTTCCAATAAAAGTAAGTATATCAAACAACTAGTTCACGTTCCGCCCTCCTCTCCCTTTTTTGCATTGTTCGTAAGGGCTGGTCCTGTGTTGCTGAAATGACACAAAATACGCACATAATATACGCAGCAACGTACAGACACTCACCGGTATAGCATAAGCTTTGCAGACAGTGGTCGGCCTCCGGACCAGAGCTCCCACCGGGCCAGACTTTAATCTCAATATCATCAAGGCTATCCCGCGGCCAGAGCAGGATGCTGTGGAGGATGAATATCTCATCAAAATTCGCTCCAATCACACTTACGTTGTTCTGGGTGACGTTTTCGGAAAAGCCCAAAAAGTAGTAATCGTAGGGCATGATAAAGTTACTGTCTTCACGACCGAAGTAAAGGGTTAGATTGGGGAGGATAGGAAACTTCTCTATTCCGCACATGATAGTGCTGAAGAAATCCGTCTCCTCGGGAATTGTGTTGTCGTTGGCCTTCAAGTTGAGATAGGTCAGTCCAACGGCCATTCCGGTAGCTATGGCCACAGGCACGCTGATATTCTGCAAGTATCGCATGGAAATGGAGAAAACGTGAATTTGGCAGACAGTAAACACTCAGTAGTACATAGTTGAATAGAAGACATCCCCTTGGCAGGATGTCGCCGTTTAAAACTGTTTTTATTTGTACCATTTATGAAAATATTTGGCTGCCTCGGTGGGATTCGAACCCACACCATCAAGGGGAAGGCTTTAGTACAGCCAACGCTCTAGCCAAGTGATCTATGAGGCCTCCACCGGGAGCCGTGGATTAAGTCACAATTTGGTCGATTTAGCCTATCGCAACGCATGGAATCCACTAATTCCGATGCAGTAAGCTGAATGCACAAGCAGGGCTTCTTAAGCTACCCATCTAGAGTTCACCAGATGACTACTAGGCAAATGATTGGATCAAGTGAATTATTCAAATCTGCCAACCCCTTCTCCCTACTAAAACTGTTTTGGCAAGCAGTAGCTGGCTTAATGGCACCGACGGTACTGAAAATTCAGAAGAAGAAGAAGAAGAAGAAGAAGAAGAAGAAGAAGAAGCGATCACTGGAACACGAGGTTTATTGTCCTGACGTTTCGGATTCCCTCGGTAATCCTTAATCATAGGTAAGGTTTATTTTCCTGATGTTTCAGATTCCCTCGGGAATCCTTAATCATAGGTAATAGTAGAACAGTCTGATCAAATTCCGTTGAGAATCCTTAGTAATAGGTCATCGTAAACAAGTCTGAGGCATGCTTCCTGGAACTCGGATATTCTCCTCTATTAGCAGTACTGAAAATACTGTCAGAATACATACGCACTCCAGTAGCATCGAAAAACATACCTGACACTCGGACTTAAGCTTTGAGGCTGAAGGACAGGACAGTGCGCAAAGGGTAACTGAGGAGTTTTTCCAGAATAGCAAAGAGAATAATCTTTTTCTGGTTTACCTGTATTTGCTGCCTAACCGTACTCTAAATATATTCTGAACGCAGGATAATTATATCCCTTGCCTGGATTATGGCAAAAGCCCACAGGTCATATGGGAATTGTGTTAATGTGCGGCTTTTAGGACATGGCACATGCTGTTCCTGCTTGTTCTGCATGCTTTGTCCTTTGAGGGTAAGGTGTGTGCTTGCACCGGGTTACTGTTCAAGAACTAACTACTTATTTTATTTAGTTAGGTGGGGTTTACTGCATTTGGCTTGCCAATAAGTCGTGGAGGCTGTCCTGGATTTAGGTGGGAGGTATGGTTGAGTTTATGGTTTTGAGGTGAGAATTCGGTCTTCGTGGTTGCGACTAGGGTTTTCAGGACCAAGTTTAGCACCTTTGGGGTTTGGGTTTAGGATTTGTGTTTTGGTTTTTGGCTATAGGGTTTTAGGTTCAGAGTTGAAGGTTGGTTTCTAGAGCTATGATTGGGGTTAAGGGCTAGATTTCTAGTTGCAAAGTTGGAGTTCAGTTAGGGAATGTGGTCAGGGTTAAGATGAGATTTTAGGTTTAGGTTCGGTAATTAGGTCAAGGTTAAGGTTCGCTTTTGTGGGTGGAGTAACGTTTTTGCGTTAAGAGGTGGAATTATTGTTTTACTTAGGGTTGCGCGGTTAGGGCTGAGGATAGGAATTAGATTTAGGGGTGGGGGGAGGTTTATTTGATTACAATTTTCCTAGTGGGATTACATATCCTACTCTTGCCTTTGTTTTAATGCAAAGAATATAAGACTAAGGTGGTGAACTTTTACAATCAATGACAACCTATTGAACAGGCTGGGGCAGCCGGCAGGTTTGCCAACTCCACTCCCCAAATAATGCAGTAAGCCTAACTGTCACATATATTTTCCAGGCCCAGAACGGACGCCAGATAGCTGCATATCTTCCTATCATCGTCCAGAAGGGCGAAACAACCCGCACTGCCGGCCTCAATTCGGTTAAAACTTTCAATGGGGATGCCAACCTCCGATTCCTTGTCAGCTGTGCAAAACTTTGTGCTGGTCAGCAGGTGTACAGGGACACAAGCGATCTGAAGGGCAAATATTAAACAATAGTGTTCAGTTAATGGGGACATGAATGTACGGTTAGCGTCCTTCGAGCATGCTTGTTAACCATCTTCCTGGACAGTCTATTGGGGAGGAATACAACTTCCTGACTGCGCATATGCTTGCTCTCAACATGAGTATGCAACAGGTGCATGCAAAACTGACAGATATCGCTAGTAAATTGGAGGGGAACACAACTGTCACCAATGTTATGTCTTCATCCGTGAATTTTTCATTGTGCGCGATGTGAGGATCCGACCACTTCATTCTTCGGCTAAGCACCAAGGAAGGATTCACATACGAGGCAGCATAGGAGGTATATCTATTTGAATACTTTCAGATCAAGCAGCTGACCGTAGTAGGCAGTTGAGCTGAGACAGATTTCATCGGAAATCTGATGACTGTCCTAATCGAACCTCTGCTTTTTCATAACTTGTGCTGGGCTGGCGGCTCAAAGCATCAGCGGTCATCCATTGTCTGCCTGTTGTTCCCGATCCTTAGCAGTAGACGTAATTTCTGTTTACTGACCCACACAAATTCCATTTGACAAAATATCCAGTTAAATGATCGCAGTATTGATACGGTACGACGAGCAGCCACTAATTAATTATATGGGTCGAAGGACCGGTATAGAGGGCAGTCGAAACATCCGCGCAGCATCCATCAGGTACAAAACTTGTCCCTGAATTATCATCTATGGGCATTCAAAGGGATGTAGGTAAATTTATACTACTGCCGATTCTATTAACCTTACGTAATTATGTGTTACTGCAATAAGTAGAGACACCTATGCATTATTAAGTACTTCTGTTTTTCCGGCGTTACTTCTGTCTTACAAAGTCTTCTTCTTCTGCAAGAATTGCTAGTGAATAGTGGAAATGATCCATCTTTTTGATTCAGAAACTGTATAAATTCCTCTTGACTGACGACTGCAAGTGTTTACAATTCTTTCTAAAAAAAACTTTTACTTCCAAATCAATGAACATTCTTCCTTAAATTGTTGTCCACCTCTTTCTTTATGCGAGAAAGTAAGTGCAAACGATTCTCTTATGCGCCGATATGAACTACTTATCGCTGCAGTTTACGCTTATTAAGCCATAGGGTTGATGCGGTACATGTACTATGAAAGCCAACAGCCTAAAAGACTCGCGGATGTGAAATCGAACAAGGGAGAAACCCATCGCGTATAATTGTGGCTGCCGTGACACAATGACGCGATCATGTTGAACGCCACGCCAGATTTCCACATCGCGTCACTCCGCCGCGCCGTTTTGTTGCGTGTGGCAGGGTGTAGCTGGTGGTGACAGGGACCTTAAATGTACAGAGTTGAGGAGAATTTATTATCGAACGCAAAAGTATGTTCCCCAAGTTATCTTTCGCATAAGTTACTGTTGGAGCTAGCGCCAATATTTGTGTACGGTTCTACTGTCGAGGATATGGATTCATGACGTTGCACAACATTATTTACTTTTGAAATCTCATCCTTAATGGGAAATCGGCAGGAATGATTATAAAGGCCAAAAAAATCCCGTCGACATATAATAAAAAAAACTACTATCCAATGTTCGGTGGCCTGACTTGAAATTTTTTCGTTAAACTGCACCAATAGGAGGATGAATTTCTATTTTCGTTAAATTCCGTCTACATAAGGTCAAATTCCCCCCGATTAGCATTCGTATTCTATGCAATAGAGGTCAATGTTGATTAAATTTAATTGTATTTAGCATATTAAAACAAACATAACCTTATTTAATTTTTATATTTTTTGATCAATTCCGCCATAATTGCATATTAATTTACGCTCGTTAGCCAAAAATTAAATGTTTGGCCACAAAATACTTTGAGCAGTTGGCGAGGGGAATAGATATCTAGAGGGGCCCCACAAATAATTTTTGCCAGAAAATCTGTAAAAAGTAATTCTTCTACGTATTCATCGCTTTCCTGTTCACTGTGGTCACCATCATCAGCATCATCCTCTCTACAGTTTTCTACTATAATGCTGGATGCAAAACTTATCTTTGTTGAATGAATCTGAAAAAAATTGTGACGGTCAGTGAAGGACAGCAACAGCTTCATCACAGGTGCGTCCGTGTCCTAAGAGTCAGTTCCTCGCTGAAGGATAGCGTAATAACATCTAGAGTCTTCGAGGTATATATGAAGCTTCTTATTTTGACCAGCAGCAATGTCAAAATGCGCATAGAATTTATATTGATATGAATTCGTGCCTCTCTCCAAAGCCGTACACTGCATCCGTGGTTGACGTCAGCTGTGTAATCAAGTGTAAGTTCGACCACCGTAATCGGTGAAGTCCACCATTTGTCCGAGAGCAGGGACGGTGACTGTGGCCAGGTATATTGAAAGTAGACGCGCCGCCATCTACCTCACTCTTAACCCTCATCCGCTTCAACCGGTGACAAGACAAAGTCGAGATGACCGAGCAG